TAAGGGATGTGTTTAATGAACAAGGCTCGCAGACATGTATACACACACGCATATTTATATACATACATATATGCATACACTGATGCCGACAGAAACACAATTATCTGTTGTGCTGAATTATTTATTTCTCCATGCTCCTCATTAGCAGAGCTGGCAAGGACTTGCGAGAAAGCATGTGTTAATGATAACATCAATTTCCAATGTTGTATTTGGGTCAAAGATGTCCCATTTCAGTGTACGCATCAAATTAAATCTTAATTAATTTGGGGAAATTCAATCACAATTAAATAAGTGATTTCATGGACAGTATATGGACAATATCATAAAGCACATTAAGAGTGTGTTCATTAATATAGCCAATCACTTTTGTGGAACAAAATGAATATCAATATATGAATGAAATCCCTCCGTGTGTTGTATATAAAATGTTGTACGTTTTAAAGACAAATGGGATGATGATTATTTTTTAAATGATCAAAACATTTTTGCGGACAAAAGGGTAAATTCTAGATGTTCAAAGAATAGTGGGATGGTATACTGTAAATAATGTCAAATATTTGTATTTCGGGGATTCCATTGGGATCCTTAAGTGGAGTATTTTAATATTCTGTCAAATGACTATTGTTCTAATAATGTTGGGAAAATAAATCAATTAAATGAATGAAACTCTCCAGGTGACATCAAAATGTAAAAAAAATCAATACATGCATTATAAAAAAAAGTGAAGACCACTTTTTGTGACATCAAAATAGCCACCTTTATTTTTGTGTTTGTTTGTTTGTTTATTTTTTTATTTTATTAACATTGTTTATTTATTTATTTATTTATTTATTTATTTATTTTTGATAGATGTATTTTATTATTCACATTGTTCATTCAACCATTTATTTATTTATGTAATTATTAATTAATTCATTCATTTATTTATTTAGTTTGTTTGTTTATTTATTTATTTATTTTTAGTTAATTAATTATTTATTTATTCATTATGTTCATTCATTCATTCATTCATTCAATCATTCATTCATTTATTCAGTTTGTTTAGCTGTCTGCATAGGCACCTTTATTTATTTATTTATAATATTTTTAATAAATGTATTTATTTATTCACATAGTTCATTCATTCATTCATTCATTTATTATGTATTATTATTCATTTATTCATTTGTATTATTATTTATTCAGTTTGTTTATTCATTCATTAATTTATTCATTTATTTAGTTTGTTCAGCTGTTTGCATAGCCGCCTTTATTTGATTTTGTATTTAATTATTTATTTATTATTATTATTTAAATAACTCTATTTATTTACATTGTTCATTAATTAATTCATTTATTTTTTTTCATTTATTTAATCTTTTTTAATACATTTATTTTTATATTTACATTATTTAATTATTAATGTTCATTTATTAATGTTCATTCATTCATTCATTATTTATTTATATTTATTTATAATTTAACTAAATCATTTATTTATTCAGTTTGTTCTTTCATTCATTCATTTATTCATTCATTCATTTAGTTTTTTTTAGCTGTCTGTCTGTTACTTGTTCCTGTTAAATGTTCTGATGCTATTAAAATATAAAAATATACCAGTAGCATTAATAGACCAAAAAGGCAGAGAAACCCCTTGTTATGAAGGTCTTTTTTTCTCAACTTTTTTTTTTTTTTTTTAGAATATCAGTAGATGCATCTGACAAAAAGTCAAAGACCCCATATGATTTGTTTTGTTTTGCAAACAGTCTATTTTGTGCACTTCAAAGAGGAACTCTTGCATTGGATTTTCTTTTCTCCACAACAGTGTTTATTTGTAGATCAGACAAAAGATCTGTAGGAATGCATTAATTACATTGGTATGATGGCGGTTTGTTTTGACTCAAGCTCTCAGAAAGAAATTCCTCATAAGAGTATAAAACAGTCAAAGCTGCAATGTTTGTAAATCTGCTATGCTCTATTCAAAAAAAATAATAATAATAAATAAATAAATAATAATTATATATATATATATATATATATATATATATATATATATATATATATATATATATATATATATATATATATATATATACATATTAATAAAATTCAGTTCGAACGTTTCGTTAAAGGAGCAACATCACAAGTAATTAACATTTTTCATCAATATCAGATCTGTTCTGCAAGTAAATGAGAGAATATTGCTGTCAGCACCCTGTAGTAGGATTGTTGGCTCAGTAATGAAATATTAGTTTATGTTAATGAGGCTTTTTGTTTCAAGCTCATTTAAAGCTATAGCGATACAATTTTTTGAACAGTTCTGGAATAGCATTCTTTTTAATAGTTAGACTATATTTAGAGAATGGAAGCATTGGAAATGGTCTTTTTTACTAGCTGTCTTGGTGGTTTCAGCATTCATTTGGCATTTGAAATACTCGGGAGAGGATAAAATGTTGTTTAATGGTTCAGGCAAGCAGCTGTTTTCAGGAAGATATTAGTGGCACTGTTCGGTCAATTACCTACTCAGGACACAAGAAAAGCATAGCAAGTAGAATCATTTCTGATGAAAAGGTATATTGCTGCCTCCATTTCTACCACAGTGCTTATTTTCCTTCTTGATTTTTCAGAACTGCAATGTTATGTTCTGCTTTAGACTTATTCTTAGCAACTAAGATAAAATGAAAACATTTATCCTCTCACTCTTGTTATATTCTCATGCTATTATCATTCATTCATTCATTCATTCAGTCATTCATTCATTCATTCATTCATTCATCAAAAAAGTCTCACACTCTAATTTTTACAACACTCATTGTGGATATGTACCCTGGTCTACTTTTTAGGAAAACCACAAATATGTAACTTGGACTATGTCTTGCTGCATTTGCTAAACAAATGCTATGAAGTCACCACAGACAGCTTCTGTTCGTTTTCGCATTACAGCTGAAAGCTTATCTTTGTATTTGCTTTTTCGGTGTTACCGAGTCTGCTCAGTAGCTTGCCGTTAGACAGTGTAAGCCAATGGACTTGGATGTGAAGCAATGAATAACAGTGAATGTTCAGTAAGTAATGGTTCCAGAAACCCTGTAAAGAAAAGCCAAAAAAAAAAAAAAAACTAAATTAAATAAATAAATAACAGGCTAAAAACATGGTAAAATCTAAAAATGTGGTAAAATAACGTGGCCAGGACGGCTTTTCTTTTTTTAGATAATTTTTAAAAACACTATTGGTTAGGTTAAGGAAAGGGGTTGGAGGATGGGTCAGTTGGTCAGTCATTCAGTCAACATCAAGCCAGTAGGTTGAAATGTATAGTGTACCCTCTGTTGGATGTTCATGAAAAGATGATGCACAAATGGCATGTACAAGAGAAATTTGAGATTAACCTCTGGTGGAATTGCAAAAACAAAAACTGCAAGCAGATATACCTCCGGGTACGTATTTCACTACCCCTAGAACTGTAGACCAGGGCACGTATCCACAATTTTAGATTGACATTTTAGGGTCAGGATTCTGTGGTGGCCAATCCATGTGTAAAAAATGATGTCAGCATCCCTGAATCATTTTCACAATTTGAGCATGATGAATCCCGGCATTGTATCTTGTATCATGAGAAAAGAAAATCCACTGATTGAATAACTTGGTCACTAAGTATGTTCAGGTAGTCAGCTAACCTGATTCTTTGGACACATAACACAGGTAAACATAGACCAAACTCAACTTTAGCATCCCCAGATCATAGCACTGCCCTCACAGGGTTTTATCATGATGAGTTCCTCACTGATAAGTGGTTTTCTTAGGGCTAGTCTTATGAGTTCCTTTTACGTTGTGCAGGTTGTAATGTACATACTTTAAGTATTTAAACATAGCTACAGGTTTTAATGTTGTTTTTATTAATTGATCTCTCCAGATGGTTTGATTTTGTTCCAACCACAATTTTTTTTCCAACCACATTTCTTTCTTAAAGATGAAGTTTCCCCACTATTCTTAGCCATGAGTTTTACTGTTGAGTTTTTAACAAAGCCATGAGTTTTACTGTTGTTTTTATTATTTGATCTCACCAGATGAGTCGATTTTGTTAATTCAAGACTTTTTTTTCCAAGCACATTTCTTTCTTAAGGATGAAAGTTCACCAATATCCTTCCAGTTCATAATGCATTAGACTGTTTTAACCCAATTTTAGTACTTTCAACAATCTCCTGAGATATTTTCCTTGCTTGATGCATGCCAATTATTTGACCCTTCTGAAACAAATGAACATCTTTTTCCGCGACTACAGGATGTGTCTTCCAACATGGTTGTTTAAAAAATAAGAAGCTATTCTCTGCATTTGTTAGGGTTAAATAACTTTTATATCTGAAACTAAATAATTCATGCAGGAATTATCCAGTGGAAGCTCTTACTTATTTGCTTAGTGAAATTCAGGCTTTGATATACTGTATTATTTTTATTTTATTTTGATGTTCTGTGGATAATATACACAGTACACAAACATATAATATGTGATAAACATGGCTAATTTTAGCTGCACGTAATTGAGATTAACTATTCAACAACAGAAAAATACTATACACTATATTGCTTGGAAAAAAAACAGCACCAGAAAAGAAAACCAGACAATTTTTGGTATTGCACGAAAGTGAGTAGATGATGACAGAATTAAATTTTCACTTGAAAAAATTCCTTCAAGTAATGAAAAGTAGGGTTTCCATCAACTTTGGCAGGCAGAGGTAGCGAACAGACCATAATGTGCTCTGCAGAGCCAGCAACTCCGTCAGCATGTTAAGCCTTAGTATTGGAGTGTGTCTGGTCAGCATTCACTGGTTAAGCTGCTTCAGCTGTTCAGTCATAAAATAATAATAATAATGAAATAAACTGTCAGTTCTCGCAGTGGTGCTTTCTATCTTTGGAGTGCCGATGTGTGTCATTGTTAGTACACACATGCTCACCTTGCCAACAATCCTGTTCGTGCTCTGAATGCTTATTGATGTCTGACTGCATCTGTTTTATTTTGGTTTTTTTAGGAAAAGGAGAGCATGGAAAGCCATACCCGCTTGTTGAGGATGAGTGTGATGACTCTGTGTACAAAGAGAATGGTTTCAACATCTACGTCAGCAACAATATCGCTCTGGATCGCTCGCTTCCTGACATCCGACATCCAAAGTGAGTAGAGCTGATTCTTCACCGCCTCCAGAGCTGCACAGCTTGAGCGAGACATCAGTGTTTTAACCATCCGTGACAGGCCACATTTGCGCAATGTGTTTTAATTAATGATTTTGTCCTAAATGAGGAATGAATCTAATTAGGATTAATTAGCTTGGTGATTTCAAGGCTGATAGATTTTTTTTTCTATACATTTGCTGTCATATAAAAGCAAGTGAATACAGGCAAAATATTTAATAAAAAAGGTTGCTCTGTACTGTAAATAAACCTGCTTTTGTGACTTGTGTCATTTTAGGAGTATGAAACTATATGTTGTATAAAAATAATATATAGGAGTACAGTGCATCCACAAAGCATTCATAGCGCTTCACTTTTTCCACTTTTTTTTTGTTTTTTTGTTACAGCCTTATTTCAAAATGGATTAAATTTATTTTTCTTCCACAAAATTCTACAAACAATACCTCTTAATGACAATGTGAAAAAAATAGTTTTCTAATTGTTGCAAATTCATCAAAACTAAAAAAACTGAAAAATCACATGTACATAAGTATTCACAGCCTTCGCCGTGAAGCTCTAAATTGACTTCAGGTACATTCTGTTTCCACTGATCATTCTTGAGATGTTTCAGCAGCTTAATTGGAGTTTACCTGTGGTAAATTTAGTTGCTTGGACATGAGGTCTCAGGGTTGACAGTGCATGTCAAAGCACAAACCAAGCATGAAGACAATAGGAATTAACTGTAGACATTCAAGACAGGATTCTCTTGAGGCACAAGGCTGGGGAAGGTTAAAAAAAAAGTAACCTTACATGAAAACTATCTGTGCAGCAATCCATCTATCAGGTCTAGGTAGAGTGGACAGACAGAAGCAACTCCGCACCTGGGATTTGCCAAAAGGCATCTGAACGACTCTCAGACCATAAGAAACAAAATTCTCTGGTCTGATGAGACTAAAATTTAACTTTTTTAGAGTGAATGCTAAGAGTTGTGTGTGAAGAAAACCAGGCACCACTCATCACCAGGCTAATATTATACCTACAGTGAAGAATTTTTTTGAGTGGCCCAGTCAGAGCCCAGACCAAAATATTATTGAAAATCTCTGGAGAGATCTAAAAATGGCTGTACAGCGCCACTTCCCGTCCAACCTGATAGAGCTTGAGGGGTACTGCAAAGTGATGGGCAATGGCAAAAATTAATGGGCAAAAATTCATTATGGGGTATTGCGTGTAGAATTTTGAGGAAATAAATTAATTTTTATCCATTTTGGAATAAGAAAAAAAAAGTGGAAAAAGTGAAGCGCTACGAATGCTTTCCAGATGCACTGTAAGTCCATAAAATTACAATACTTTCAGTTTAATATCAGGTTTTTGTACAGTAATTACAACAGTAATTGTACGCAATACACCAACCCAGATGATATCACTACAAATCAGTGCTTAATTTGTAAGTTAATAATTCCCAGAACAAAACCAGGAAATAAAAGTTACCGTGACCGACGTCCACGAAACAATTTCAGTTTTCCCAGAATATGACATCATTAAACGTTGATAGTGCAAAAAAGAGCATCCCATTTTTGAACAGTCTTTAATTATGTTGTGCCATATAACGTTATAAGTCAGTCATGGATAATAAAAACATGTAGCTACAAACATAAATCAGAAAAAACAATCACTATTCAGTTGACTATTATGTTCCAGGTGAAAAAAACATATTAAATGCCTCAAAAGCTCACATTTACCTCTTCTGTCATGTTTTTTGGCGGACTTAAGATTGCTTTGCTTCTGTCTCCCACTATCCTGATCCAGGGATGCATTTACATCTTCTCAAGATTACTTGATCAGGCTAATTGGGTATATGCCGAGCTAGTGTTCTTTCCCATACTGATAAACTTCCGGTGAACGGTTAATGTGACTTTTTCCCATTTTATACTGTTCCTTTTACAGCATCGATGTTGTAATGTAATTCATAAACAATCAGTTAAGTAGACTTTGGCATTCGTTAAGTTGCTTAAGCGTAAAATGAGACAAAAGCCTATTACTCCCACAGACCTGTAAGGATCGACATTGAACATACTGGGGTAAAATGAATGTTCATATTTTAAAGACATGGCGAGGAAAATGTAATTTAATGCAGCGCTTCTTGTACAATCTGAGACCCACTTTATAGCAGATAACACTCAGCCAGTGGAGATCTTAAACACGCTGATTTTGCAATGGTATACAGTTCACCAGAAACACTTAACCCAGGTTACTGTCAAATTAAAAGTCCTTTAGCATACTTTGGTATACCTATTGTTAGATTTTACTCGTGGTTTTAAAAAGTGAAAATATGCTTGTCTGCCTCTTTGCCGTTTTGAAAATGCAATTATTATTTAGATTGGCCACTGTGCCATTACTTATTTTTGCTGCTCACTGTGTTCGAAACAATAACCACCAACCAATGAGAGAGATTGTAAACAAAAAAAAGCCAATTGGCTCAACATATTGTTGAGGGCCAATTGTTGAATGTGACTTTTGCTTCAACTTGTGCATGGTGACTACCGTAATGTGTGTGTGTGTGCACAATTCAATTGCCTTCAATTGCCATTTTCACATTCTTTCCCTCTCTCCCTCTTTCTCTCTCTCTCTCTCTCTCTCTCTCTCTCTCTCTCTCTCTTTCTCTCACACTCACACACACACACACACACACACACACACACACACACACACACACACACACACACATAGGTATTCACCACACACAAGTGAATACCGGATCCATTAAAATAAATACAAGAACGCAAAACACTAATTCTGACATTTTCCAGAAAAGAATCCGACAAGATCTAGCTCAAATTAAGTACTGCTTCAAACTGTTAAGAAAAGTTAATAAATGTAATGATTTTATTTCAAACATCTTCGATCATCAGTAGGATTCTGCTGTAAAGAGGGTGACAGTGGCTTAGTGGTTAGCACTGTCACCTCAGCTAGAAGGTTGCTGGTTTATGTGTTCTCCCCAAGTTCGCATGGATTTCCTCTGGGTCCTTCGGTTTTCCCACAGTCTAAAGAATAAATTAGTCATAGTATATGTGTGTGTGAATGCAAGAGTGTATGGGTGTTTCCTAGTAATAAGTTGTTGGCTGGAGGGCATTTGCTGCATAAAACATATGCTGGAATAGTTGGCGGTTCTTTGCGCTGTGGCAACCCCTGACAAATAAGGGATTAGCTAAAGGAAAGTAACTGTAACTATAAGTAACTGTGCAGCAGTTTGTTTTACTGAGCCTAGCACTAACCTAACAGGTTTGTGCTAAAGGAACACACATGCATTTTTATAACACCTTTATTAAGTGATTGTATGAAAAATATTAAATTGCTAATTTTAAAATATATATTAAATTGTATATAATTTATAATGGCGACACAGTGGTGCAATGTCTGTTGTCTCACTGCAAGAAGGTCAGTGGTTCGAGCCACAGCTGGGTCAGTTGTCATTTCTGTGTGGAGTTTGTATGTTTTCATTTACAAATTTATGCTATCAAACTTGAGCAGCACTGTAGTGTGGCAGGAATTATACACTAAACAATGACTGGACTAGAAGTCTTCTAGCTGAAATTATCGAAACACATTTTCATATAGGTGATATGATTATAAATAAACCACCTATTTGCATTCTACAAAAAGGACATTTTAACATAGTCTTAAATAATTACATGGTTTAACAGTTGCAGTATTTGTCAAGCTGTAGTGAGTTTAGTCAGTAACACTTTACAATAAGGTTAGTTAATGCATTTACTAACCTAAGCAAACATTGAAAAATGCATTTACTACAGTATTTATTCATGTTCAGGACCGTAATATATATCGTAAGTTATTTTGTTTGAAAAGTTCCAGATTTGTCTTCGGTACTGACTAATCTAATGTATGCACAGATATTGTACAGCTTCCTATTAAAAATATGAATCTAAAAGATAGATTTGTGAGGGGTGTACTTATATATGCTGAGCACTATATGATGTTTAGAGTGTTTACATGGTCATAATACAGCAAGTAATACAACAAGCACTTAGTTGAGGCTAGCTTTTGTAGCTGGACATTGCTTACAACCTTGATGGGTGAACATTAGCCAGTGGGGGAGTGTCTTTTGTCTTTTCAAGTGTGAATAATTCATGACCATTGTCACTCCCATGAATACAGCTGAGATTACCTAAAATAGACTTTACAAAATGAAAATCATTGTAATGTTTTTCTTTAAATGAGAAAACAAAATAATGTTGACGTAATTGTGGAGTAAATATTCTATCCTACAAGACTGTTTATGATATCTTTTTTATATAAAATATTATAGATACACGCAGGCATGTATATTAATATTTCTTACATATTAGTGTAGCACAGTTTGTGCTGAATGCAAAACATACATGTTGGCTAATACTATGTAGTTAGTAGACCCCTGAAGGTTAAAACATCAGTTAATGACAAAACATTTGTACATTGTTAGTTGATGTTAAATCATGATGTGAATGTTAACAATCATTAATTTAGATGTTAATAATGCTTTAGCAATATGATTAATTATGATTGATAAATGCTGTACAAGTATTGTTCATACATAATTCGTGTTAGTTAATGCATTTACTAATAAACCTTATTGAAAAGTGTGACCATTTATTCTTCTGACACTTGCCGTGAGTGCACTGGTACACATATGTGAAGAGGCTGATCAGTGCTGATGCTAGTATAATTTCACACAGCTTTCAGTCAATCAGATTTGAAAACCAGAAAGAACTGTTCTATAATTTGAAACGAGAGCAGTTATTTTACATTGTAATACCTTTTTAATTGTTGTTTTACAGTGTTTTAATCAAATAAATACAGCATATATATAATACAGATACTCTAAACCATGCTAAAAACGCAAACCCATGAATACTAGTGTCTGACATTTTGACTGAAAAGTAATTCCGAATACACTTACTAGCAGTGTTAGTGTGGTCTACTGTCCATCTGAAGTTCTTCTTTTACAT